AAAAAAAAAAAAAAAAAAAACTTTTCAGTTACCGAAGTTTAATTTCCTCTTTCCTTTAATTTTGTGTACATCAGCAGTTAAGGTGGGATGAGGATTCAGTTTTGTTACCTCAATCACTTGTTTGCTTCAGTTGCTCTCTGAATATCTTTTGTCCCTATCAGTAATTATGACATGGAAAGATAAATTGCCTATGCTAGCTATCTTACTATCATCTTCATTCTTATCATTGTTGTAGTCCTTATGGCCACCATCAACATTACTGTGGTTGTGATGATTATCATTGTTAGTATTTTCACTGTTAGAAGTTATATTTGTCCGCATGGATAACTTACTGGGCTGTTACTGTGTATAAGGGTGGGTTGGGCACCCTCTTCCTTGGAGCTAACTTTTGGGGATGAGCTCTACCCAGGCCCATCTATCAACTGTTTTATGTTGTTTTATTTGTCATACTTATAAAGTTAATTTTTAGTGTTTCTGCTATTAAAATTATCAATGAGGTTTAGCCTAATTACAGAATCCCAGTTATCTTTCTAAAATGCAAGTTCCCCTTGACGTTTGTTTCTAATTTACAAATCGCACGGTCAGGAGTTCCAGGTAGCTACACACCTTTGGAGAGGTAACATTAAGGGGGTATTTGTAATCTGGACGACAGTTGAAGTTTTATATAATGAGAATTGATTTTACGTTTTCTGTAGTTATCCCTTATTCACCAAATAACCAAAATTCTTATATTCAGTTTTACCCAAAACAGGAAAATTAAAAAAATGTAACTATTATTCTCTTCCAAATAAGCTGAGTTTCAGTTAATCGCCAAAGCAGCTTGTCACATCACTACAGACATTGAAATTCTTTACAATGTTTGCATTTGATACTAGTCTAGTTGTTGGCTTCTTATTGGTTTTCCTTTCACAGAGCAAGAAAAGATAAAGTCGGCAAAATCAATATTGATTGTTGGGGGAGGGCCTAGTGGTGTAGAATTAGCTGCTGAGATCATAGTGGACTTTCCTGACAAGAAGTTGACCCTGGTGCACAGGGGATCAAGGCTACTTGAGTTTATCGGTGAAAAGGCTGGAACAAAAGCCTTGCAGTGGCTGACTTCAAAGAAGGTCGAAGTCATCTTGGGTCAGTCAGTAAAGCTCAACTCCGGAGCGGAGGGTGCGTACGAGACGTCAGGTGGCGAGAAGATTATTGCCGATTGCCATTTCCTTTGCACCGGCAGCCCACTTGGTTCGTCTTGGCTAAAGGAGACCATTTTGAAGGACAGCTTAGACATGCATGGGAGGCTGATGGTCGATGCAAATCTAAGGGTCAAGGGTCACACCAACATCTTTGCTATCGGCGATATTACTAATATTCCTGTAAGTTTTATACCTCAATTACAACTTAGATATCGTTATGGATGGAAATCAAACTATGCTACTTGGCAGTTGGTTCATGTCCGTTTGTTTGAGTGCTCGATGAATAACAAATGCAAAAATCAAACTATTTGTGTTTGACTCGATTAAAGCTGGTCTGAGCTCAACTCACCTTCAAACATAATTATTAAAGTTTGTAATTTTCTCTAACAAGCGTCTTGATCAATTTTTTTAAGTGTGGGTCAGCTCGACTCATCTAAAGCAGTAGATGTCACATTGATGTTGTTGGGTATATCTTCATGAAAAATGAAAAACAGATTCTTAGTCTACATTGTCAATAGGAAACAATACAAGCAATTATTATGATTTTGTTAAAGTCTACATAATTTTCTTTGAAATATTGCAGGAACTCAAACAAGGATACTCGGCTCACGCGCACGCATCAATTGCTGCTAAGAACTTGAAGTTGTTAATGCGGGAAGAAAGCAAGAGCAAGCTGTCAACTTATAAGCCGGGCCCACCAATTGCACTCGTTTCACTTGGCAGAAGAGAGGGAGTGGTGCAAATTATGTGCCTGACTATGTGTGGCCGCATTCCTGGAATCATAAAATCGGGGGACTTGTTTGTGGGGAAAACCCGCAAGCAACTTGGTCTAGAACCCCACTAAGCACAGCCTTCTGTAGCTCACAAATATTCCAATTTCACTTGTGTTTTAATACTGAATTGTTATGTATAACAATGCAGTAGTGAAGGATACATTTATAATTGCATGCAGAGAATATTGTACACAAGTAAATGTGTCAGATATACGATCGGATCTTATTTCTGTCTTCTCTAATTTTACAATTTTTTGGATAATTGTGTTACAGCAAAGCGTATTGTGTAAACATGAGCCTAGGAACTCAGCCAAATAGACTAATTCTCAAGTTAAAATCACTTTACCTTATGTAAGAATCAACAAATCAAGCATAAGGAATGTTGACATCCACATGGATAAACTATTTTTCATACAACACGTGTCCGTTAACCGAGTCACATAAAATCCCTAAGAGCATCTCCAACCCACCCGGTAAACTCAGTGAAAACGCCTTTCATAGAAAAAAATTATCTCCAACCAAGCTCTGTCCTTTCCGCTATTTTAGGGGGAGAGGTTTGTGGAACGGTTTCCACACCGTTCCACTGTTCATCCTCTTAACTTTTTTTTTTTTTTTGGTTTTCTTTTTCAGTAAAAAATGAAGTGGGCTAACAAATTTTGGGCAAGGGAT